GGTACGAAGTTCGCTGGGTCAGCTAGTATTTTTATAAAACATTATAAGTTTGCAATATCTATATTCATTATAAGTATTCATTAGGAGTGCGTTGATTTTAATTGAAGATTGGTTTAATTTTTTTTTTGGTGAAAATAAGTGGCACATACGTTAACAGAGTCTTTTTTTATTTTCACTATCATCCTATTAATGTACCCAGTGCTGGGGCACAAGCCTTTCCTATGGATGGATTTGGGAGATTGGACTGCGACCCACCACGCGGGTCCAGTTCGAATGAAGCGTATGGCTCGCCTGTTCGTAAGTGGGCACCATAGCCTATAGACGCTTCATCATCATCATCATCAGCCTATTAATGTCCCCACTGCTGGGGCACGGGCTTTCCTTATGGATGAAATTGGGAGATTGGGCCATGACACACCACGCGGGCCCAGTGCGGATTCGGGTGCTAACGACTGCAGATGCAGCCGGGACCACTGGTTTAACGTGCTTTCCGAAGCACGGCGGAGCCGAGATAAAATTTTTGGTCACCCATCCAATGACCACGATCAATCAAGTTACATTAATAAGTCCCGCCTAAAGTTAATCGGCTTCCATAGCCCCGTATTGCTCGCACAATGCCTACTCTGACCCCACTGACCTGATGGAACGCTGAAACCTTAATCACCAAGAGAAACGCAAGAGGGGGCATAGCAGATTTCCGCTCGAATTTGAGCGCCCGTCTGGGTTAGCAATCTCTCTATTGCAGTGTTTCCTAACCTTTCCAATACTGCTACCCCTGTAACCTATTAGGAAATCAGATTTTACCCCGACTTTAAAATGTTATCATCAGTCCAAGAAATTCCATCTTCGTCTCTAATAATGTCATCATCAGGAGAAAATCTCGCCCCGCTTCCCACACTCAGCACCCCGCGGACTCGCTAGCAAGAAGGAGCGCATGCTCTATTTAGTAGTATTATTATAAAGCATTTTCTTATTATTTAGATTTGACCAAATAATTAGGTTCTTTGTTACCCCCGAAGTATGGCAGGCTCTATTGTGTCAAATGCAATAACTTTAAGTAGCTATGTGGTTACCGTAATCTAGTAGAGTTTCCGAGTAGTTTACGATATTTGGTAAATATTTGCCTGAGCCCTTGAAAATGGGGCTTGATATGTTTATACTGAAATATTATGAAGAAACATATCTAATACAAAACACACATGTGTCGACGCTTTGCACACTAACTCGTATTTTATATCATACTTGCTGTGCCCCGCGGTGTTACCCGCGGTTTATTAGGGATATTTTCCCGTAGTAAAACCTAGCATATGTGATAATCTAGGGTGTCAACTAACTCCATACCAAAGGAGATTGCTCAAATTGGCCCAAATGCACAAAAAATATTGACATACACGGTAATTCTTGGCGTAATTTATAATTTAATTTACAGTCATTAGATTTCAACGGACACCTTTGTATAATATATTTACTTTAAAAAGGACTTTTAATTTTATCGGTTTGGACAACATACGAATCATTTTTAATGGCTATGGATGTAGTAACATTCAGCCAAAGACTGATCGAAGTTGTTTATATAACATAAAAACAAATCTATTTTGTAAAGATCGATAAAAAAAATCATTTTTTTTATTATACTGTGGTATTAATATCCATAACTATATTATAATTTTCACTAGATGCAAATGTGCTCACACAATTATTATAGATGGTATGCGACATCATAAAGTCTATTGCCATACATTTTTCGCCAAACACCTCCATAAACACATTAAAATCTGTATATATGTTAGACTTTAAGGTATCTATCTATGGGCCTACGTTCCCTGACTATAAATTAATAAATAAATAAAATTATAAGGTGTGATACACTAAAAATGTATAATATGGTGATCTTAAAAACAACAAAAATAATGAAGCTACTGAATATATGGCTATAGAACCTAAATCTCTTAGCTTTCTTTGGTTAACGAGAGTTTAAAAATTCTCTCTAATCTGTGGCTCATTCACAATCATCACACAGTTTCTGTCACAGAGTACCTTATTATAACCGGATTTTAAAAGTTACTCTTATGCATTAACTTTAAAAACAGGCAACTATCTGTTAATCTACATGCTCTATATACCTGAATCTAATCCATAATTTCGGTACTTGGCTTGATTTCCCTAGTTCACTATATAAGTTTTTTATTATTTTAATATGGTTAGGGTATATGGTTTATAAGAGTTCTCAGGGGTGTCCGACAATAATATTCGTTTCTACAGTAATTTATATATAATTTCGAATCTAGGAAACAATTTTTCATGATTATTGGTCTTTAGGCCAAACATGTATGGAAGCTGAGCAATCTCCTTTAATTAAAATCGCTCCAGCCGTTTAGACGTGAAGAAGTAACAAACATTCAAACACACACTCACAAACTTTCGCCTTTATAATATTACTAGCAAACCTGTGAACCAAATGTTCACCAAAAAAAAAAAAAAGTATTTAATTAATTGAGAACTTCGGAGATTTTGTGTGGTTTCGTTTGAAATAGAAATCACGTGATTTCTCGAAAACCGGAAATGCTACGTTACTCACATCCGGTTTGTAGTCTTATCAGAATATTCTTAACTTATAACTTAAACATTCTCTATATCTATCTCTTACGGTTTGGCCGCTGAAACAGCACCACGGACGGACGGACGGACGGACGGACTTGTCTAATAGATAAGAGATATTAATGTGATTTTCATTCAAACTTATTTCCTCGCCCCATAAACTGATTTATTCATTTTATTAAAACAACAGACGCATTTTTTAAACAAAAACTTAATTACTACTTGATGTCTAAAATTTACAATCCAAATTACCTTAACGTACTTAACTACTTAAATAATATATAATTTCATCATCATTATCATCAACAGCCTATCTTAGTCCACTGCTAGACATAGGCCTCTCCAAATGCACGCCACTCAGATCGATCTTGGGCTACTCGCATCCAGCTCCTGCCAGCCACCTTGCGCAAATCGTCACTCCATCGTGCCTGAGGACGTCCTACACTACGTTTGCCTAGACGCGATTTCCATATATAATTTACAAACTAAAAAAAATGTCACCCCCAGCGCCGCCACCAGGAATGGTACCCAATAGGCTGGCAGCATTGCCACGTTGGATGGCAAGGCTGATCCGTTGACCAAAAGAGCAATACCATATGGAATAGGGAGATTGGGCCATGACCCACCACGCGGGCCCAGTGCGGATTGGCGGGTGCTAAAGACTGCAGATGCAGCCGGGACCAACGGCTTAACGTGCCTTCCGAAGAACTAAGGACCTCGAGATAGTAAATTTTTGGTCACCCATCCAATGACCGACCACTGCGAAAGTTGCTTAACTTCAACGATCGCAGCCGAACGCGCTAACCACTTGCGCCATCGAGCTCCTCACCTATACCAATAAAAATCACCCCCAATTTACAACTAGCCATTGAACATGGAGTTTAGGCTTAAAAAACCTTATAATTTTTTTTAAGTATGTAACTCTCTCGATGTCTAAATCTAAAGAAAATAGTACTAGAAAAAATCCACGCGGACCAGGCATTGTGGGTTACCTACAATGTGAAGAGATGGCGCTGCCTAAGAAAAGCTAGAAGGAATTCGACACGATCATCAGGGCCGCGGTAGCATAATGGTCAGTGCATTGGCCCGGTTCCGTCTGCAGTGTTTCCACTTTAATGATTTCCTTTCCCCACGCCTCAATTCAGATTTCCCCTTCTTAGGACATTTTTCCCTTCAAAAATTATTCTGCTGTAGTTTTTAGATTTGGCACTAGTGTAGTAACTTAAGAAAAAAAAAGGTCTTAATCTATCTTATTCTATAACAGATAAATAAAATATATAAAATCTGCACGTGTTGCCACAGTTTCTTTTATACGGCAACACTCTAGTCCACGGTATAGTCTATATAAAAAAATTTGTTCCGTGCCGCATTATTTTAGGCTAGGTTTTACCCATAATTTCCCGCAATTTCCCCTTTTCATCTATTTCCCCCTTTTCTCCCCTTTGGACCCTAATTTCCCCTTAAAAGGGGAATTTCCCCTCATTGTGGTAACACTGCCCGTCTGCTGCCTGGTCCGCGTAGATTTTTTTCTAGTAATACTTTATTTAAATTTAAACATAGAGCAGTTACATGCTTAAAAAAAACTTAAAGAACCTTTTCAGTCCAGTACCCTTAGTACGAGTGCGAGCTCACGAAAACTATCATAGTTTTCGTAATTATAAATTATGTTTCTATGTAAATTTTGGTGAAAAGTAACCCAAATATGCTCAAAATTTAAGAAGACGCAAATGATTTAATGATAGAATTTAAACACTGTTTATTTGTTTAAATCTAAGGAAAACTTAACTAGAAAAAAATCCACGCGGACCAGGCAGCGGACGGGACTCGAACCCGCATCCTTCGCTATCCGGGCGAATGCACTGACCATTATGCTACCACGGCCCTATTAGCCGCGTCGAAATTTACCTAGCCTTAAGCTGCAAGGCAGCGCCATCTCTTCGCATTGTAGGTAACCCACAATGTCAAATGAATACTTTTTCAAGTATTAAACATTTGAAAGAAGAAATAGCAATTATAGTTATGATTTTATTTATTTTTTTAAGCATTTAACTGCTAGATGTTTATGTCATATGTATAATGGTCAGTGCATTCGCCGATAGTGAAGGATGCGGGTTCGAGTCCCGTCCGCTGCCTGGTCCGCGTGGATTTTTCTAGTTAACTTTTCCTTAGATTTAAACATCTAGCAGTTAAATGCTTAAAAAAAAAATCATAACTGTTTATTTGTATTGAAACGAAAACAATAAAATCAGTACCCTTAGTACGAGTGTGAGCTTACGAAAACTATCATAGTTTTCGTAATTGTAAAACTCGTACTAAGGGTACAGTACGCCGTGTCTATACATCGTTAGTGCTACGTGTCCACAAGCCGATGTGAGCCGCAGTCAGTGTGCTCCAGAACGTGTGCCGGGTCGCGCGCTGTTGCCGACAACACAGCGACGTGTGAGACACCGCGGTCAAGTAGAATAAGTGTTAGTGCCATATATGATAAAGAGAAAATATGGTCTGCAAAGTTGTACCGAAGCGAACCACTCGTAAGTTGAGCTTTTTTTTATTGAAACTTTTGTTTTTCGACGTGCGATCTTTTTTCTGGTTCAAAATTGTTTGGGTGAGTTTTAGGTCTATGGTGATTAGGAAGTTGGAAAAGTTTATGTAATTAGAAAGTTTGTGTAGCAAAATGTTTTCTATGGATTTATTTTTTCAAAAAAATTGGCAGATTATACCCTCAAATTACTTACTTATGCTTGAGATTGTGTGACAAACTAAAATCGTGAAACGTCTTCTTTAATAATAATTGTGTACATTGAATGGTTCTATTAGGATTCGAACCCATGCTTGTTTGCTTAGAAAACATAAATAAGACCGAATCGCTCGTTACCGATGCATTGCATTTAAGAGTTGTTTTTAATATAAAACGTTATTTTCATATTTAATAAATTTATTAATTTAATGCTAATTAGACAATCGAACGTCCCAGGAACCACGCGTAACATCCCGGTTGAATACAAGTAAAAGAGTTTAATAAAAAATTATCTATACTTATAATAAATCTGTAGAGATGTCAATTCTGTACATGAAATATATTTTTAAAATAACTATCAGGGGGTGATTAGTGATCGATACTGATGCCAAAAATGCAATCAGTAAAATTTTTGTCTGTCTGTCTGTGTATATGTTCCTTATAGAAAGAAAAACTACTCAATAGATTTTAACGAAACTTGGTACAATTATTTTCCATACTCCTGGGCAGGTTATAGTATACTTTTCATCACGCTACAATCAATAGCAGCAGAGTAGTGAAGGGAAATGTTGAGAAAACGGGAGAAGTTACTCCATTTTTTAAGCTTCCGTCGCGGGTGCAGCCTTAATGGTTAAAGTTACATAGAAATCATGTATGACGGAAATATTCTACATAAAATCGTCTAAAAAATATCCCGCAACAGCATATGTCTATCTTTTATGGTTGACTCACAATAACACGTGTAATTATATAAATAAAGTCATTCTTTATAGCACAAGCCTGAGAACAAAAACTATAGTTTACACTACAGCTCTACACCGAAGCGAAGCGAGGGCGGGCCACTAGTATGTTTAATAATTCAATTTTGAGTGGAAGACGTTACATAGTATTTCAGTATGGATTTTTGTTGCATATTTTAATGCAATTTGTTATAGCCATAACTCGTTTATTGTAATAAATTGCTACTATCAATATACATGATTAAAAGCCAATAATAATCTCTTAGATTTATTCGGACGTAAAGAACTAGAAGTAATAGGCCTTTTCCTATCAGATCAGATCAGATCACTATATCAAACGTCTTGATTGACAAAATAGTTAAAATAGCCCCGTTTCATAAAATAAAACACAAAATAAGAAACAAAAATTGTTAAGATAGCCCATATTCATCATTATCATCAGCCTATTAATGCCCCCACTGCTGGGGCACAGTCCTTCCCTATGAATGGAATAGGGAGATCGGGCCATGGGGTGGTGGGTACCACGCGCGCCCAGTGCGAATTAGTGGGTGCTAACGGCTGCAGATGCAGCCGGGACCAACGGCTTAACGTGCCATCCGAAACACGGAGGAGCTCGAGATAGTAAATTTTTGGTCACCCATCCAATGACCGTCCACTGCGACAGTTGCTTAACTTCAACGATCGCTAACCACCTGCGCCATCGAGCTCCTCCGTAGCCGAACGCGCTAACCAAATGCTGGAATTTATTAACATTTAAAATATTTATGGGGGTTATTTGTTATCTATATTAAATGCCAATTTTGCAATATCTTTAAAAATCATGTCATAAGGGTCGTAAACAAGCGTATGGCCCGCCTGATGGTTATATGTCACCATCTATATATAAAAAACTCAAAGGTGACTGACTGACTGACAGTGATCTATCAACGCACAGCCCAAACCACTGGACGGATCGGGCTGAAATTTGGCATGCAGGTAGATGTTATGACGTAAGCATCCGCTAAGAAAGGATTTTGATCAATTCTACCCCCAAGGGGATAAAATAGGGAATGAAAGTTTGTATGAAACTTTGTCAATTTTAAACCGATCGGGCTGAGACTTTGCATGCAGGTATAAGAAGAATCATAGATGAATGTCATTGTGTATAATACAAGCCTGAGAACAAAAACTGTAGTCTACACTTCAGCTCTACACCGAAGCGAAGCGAGGGCGGCCCACTAGTAGGTAGCTTATAAAAATTGCGATACCAAACATATCACTCGCACTGTTGCCTACCCTGCCCTAATCCCCTACCCCGTGGAACATTCCTCACCGACAGAAACACAACATCACCAACAGGTAGTGTTATTATACTTTCGTGCGGGTGCAGACGGGTGCTCAAAAGAGAGCAGAAAATCCGCTATGCCCCACCTTTCTTAACCTCCTGACACCCAAGCATTTACTAAAATCTCTTGCCACTATGGTTGAATGTACTTTACAAAAAATTAAACAGTTTTTTTTGCAAAGGCCGAGAGCACTCCTGTTGAATAAAACATAAACGAAGGTTTTTTCAGAGGTTTTTCACTTCAACAAATGTTTTTTAATATTATTTGATAAAAACATTGAGCGTAACAAATTATTATTGACGTGACAACGTCTTAAATTAGGTTGCGGCTGGGAGTCACTTATGAAAAAGTGTAACGCTCGGTAACGTTACGATGAGTCTCTCGTGTTAAGTTTAAGTTTACATGTACAATGTTTTAGTAAACAAAATATATTTCTATAGTTAAAATTTGTGCAATTCTTATTTTCATTCAATTCCTTGTTCCTATTGTGCAATTTAATTATATTCATATCAATAAATATTCTACCGAGAAAAAGACGTTGTCACGTAAAATCTTCGCCCGTAAAACCGACTTTACAGGCAACCATTTTTTTTTTATCAATTAAGTAGTAAAACAAATTATTCCAAAAAAATAACATATATTGCAAGTGCCTAACATATTAATAACAAACACTTGGGATTGATGATACCTAAAGGTCTGTCGTCCATTGTCGAAATATTAAGTTCAAAAATATTAGGCCCTTAGAGTTTGGTTTATTTAGCACTTTGTAAAGGACGCCAGGTGTCAGGAGGTTAAATTTTTTATTCCAAAAACACTCCTCATGTCCATTAAACATTTGTACAAGACCAGTAGCCCTAGCACGAATCATTATCGAATTAGTTTGCCAACCGAAATGTCAATGTCAAATTTTGTATGGAAACTTGAACAGCAGCGGTACAAAGACTCGCAAACGATACGAATTCGTTATTGGTTCGTGCTAGGGGTAGAGTACCCTTAGCACGAACCAATATCGAATTCGTATCGTTTGCGAGTCCGAAATTTCATTGTCAATACAGTACTGATTTTTAGTTCTCTTTACGTACTTTGTGCCGCTGCTGTTCAAGTTTCCATACTAAATTTGACATTGACATTTCGGTTGGCAAACTATTCGAATTCGATAATGGTTCCTGCTAGGGGTACAGTACCCTTAGCACGAACCAATATCGAATTCGAATAGTTTGCGAGTGCGAAATGTCATTGACAAATGTGTACTGATTTTTAGTTCTCGTTACGCCCGTTTTATCGCTGCGGTTCAAGTTTCCATACAAAATTTTACTTCGTGCTAAGGGTACAGGTCTAATCTATGTGTGGATTAGTTTTTAAATCTCGATGGTTCTGATAAATGAACGATGGCATTTTAATGGTTGACACCAATCGAGGAAATAAACCAGTGTGGCTCAATTGATTGATATAAAAAACGAAAGCAGAACGGCATTGACAACCACGAAAAAAAATTTAAATTGGATTCCAATTAGAAATGGACGCCTGGAGATTCGCACGGAAAAATAAATCTCTTATCTATTAGACAAGTCCGTCCGTCTGTGGTGCTGTTTCAGCGGCCAAATCGTAAGAGATAGATAAAGAGAATGTTTAAGTTATAAGTTAAGAATAGTCTGATAAGACTACAAACCGGATTTGAGTAACGTAGCACTTCCGGTTTTCGAGAAATCACGAATTTCAAACGAAACCACACAAAATCTCCGAAATTCTCAATTAATTAAATATATATATTTTTTTAAATCAGGTTTTGGTGAACATTTGGTTCACTGGTTTGCTAGTATATAATTAATAGGGTATTTGACAAGTTTTAGAAAATGATCTCACGTTATTTACTAATGTTTATAGAGTCCATAAAAAAGTGGATATTCATCATTATGTTGTGTATTTCGATAACAAAACAAAATCAAAAACTCAATTTTCAAGTTGCCGCGAAAAACGTATCTCTGGACAATATGGTGTCTCACTGGTGTGTGACGTCACACGACTGTCATTAAAACGTCAATCCATACAATGTAATGTCACTTTAACCGGAAGTTTACTTGCGCGTGACGTCATTTTAGGCTCCACCAATCCCAAGCGTTTTGGGTCACGTGACAAAGGACAAGAAAACTATTATCTTTATCGTGGGTTTTTAGTAAAATTATGAATATTTTTTTTCTGTAAAAATAGTAAAAACTCCTGCCAATATTCATTCTTAATACTAACAATTGACACTTTATTTTTAATACTGTCAAATACCCTATTTTAAGGTGAAAGCCACGTATAACAGTATATAATACATATACCTACCGTTAGCACTACATTTAATAAATTAGAATTATAAATTATATGACGTGATGTGCAGTTTTAACGCATTTTTACCTAATTCTTGATATTACTTTTAAACTGACAACATCCCGATATTGATCATGAAACCTGGAAAGAAAAATATTAATAAATAATAGAAATACGGTCGATAAAACTCGTTACAAAAATTTCATTAATGTTTGTTTAGCGCGGAAATAGGTAACACGTGAAAAAACAAATTCCAAGCACTCAATTTGGATTACATTGCACTCTTTTCTATGTCCTACATTAACATAAACAGTTGGCGTAAATAAATTGATAATCAGATATTCTTTTTCACATAAGGTGCAAAAATCTTAAGCATTGCTATTTTCAGTCACACGCTCAAACCACTGGACGGATCGGGCTGAAATTTGGCATGCAGGTAGATGTTATGTATGACGTAGGCATCCGCTAAGAAAGGATTTTGATTAATTCTACCCCCAAGGGGATAAAATAGGGAATGAAAGTTTGTATAAAACTTTGTCAATTTTAAACCGATCGGGCTGCGACTTTGCATGCAGGTATAAGAAGAATCATAGATAAATGTCATTGTGTATAATACAAGCCTGAGAACAAAAACTGTAGTCTACACTTCAGCTCTACACCGAAGCGAAGCGAGGGCGGGCCACTAGTTATTACTAAGTTTGGTCTTCGAATGGGTATTAAAACTTCTATAAATCATTCAGGTTTCAAAGTACCTACTGGTAAATGCTTTTATCACGACTGAATTTCGCAGTTATTAGCACCTATTAATCTGGACTGGGTCAGTGTAATGGGATTTATTCATAGGGACCGCATGAAGATTACGATTAATATCTAATTTCAAACGTTTCTAAACTAGAAATTGGAAAATATTGTTCATTATTTGATGACCTCCGTGGCCCAGTGGTTTCTACGCCGGATTTCATGGTGTCGCCGACTCGAGAGGTCCCCCCGGGTTCGAGTCCCGTTAGGGGCAGATGTTTGTGTGATGAACACCAGCATTTGTTCTCCATTCATGGATGTTTAATATACTCAGATATTTATCAGTATACTAGCAAACCCGGCGAACTCCGTTTCGCCACGAAGTTTTTTTTTTTAATTTTTCCTGAATTTTCTTTGCTATAAACCTCACGGAGCCCGAGACCTTTCCAACGAATGCAAAACCGTGGAAATCGGTTCGTGCGTTCTGGAGTTATAGCGTCAGGAAGGAAAACTCGTCTTATTTTTATATAGTAGATATTTATCAGTATACTAGCAAACCCGGCGAACTCCGTTTCGCCACGAAGTTTTTTTTTTATATTTTCCTGAATTTTCTTTGCTATAAACCTCACGGAGCCCGAGACCTTTCCAACGAATGCAAAACCGTGGAAATCAGTTCGTGCGTTCTGGAGTTATAGCGTCAGGAAGGAAAACCCGACTTATTTTTATATAGTAGAGATATGTATTCTATCCGTTACCCTAGTATCCTCATAACATAAGCCTTACAGTGCTTACTTTGGGGATTGGCTAAATGGTGTGAGTGTTGGAAATATTGATTTATCTTTATATATATAATTCTTCTGTGAGTGTGTATGTCACTGAACTTCTCTTAAACGACTGGACCGATTTTGATGAATTTTTTTGTGTGTGTTCAAGGGGATCTGAGAATGGTTTAGATTCACAAAGACGTGTAGACAGAACAACGTCTGTCGGGTCCGCTAGTTATTTATATTTATTTATGACTGCAAACAATTTATATCTTTTGACACACACACACACACACATACGTTAACGAAACGTGACGTCAATCTACGTTTATAATGAAGGTGAATATAAAAGAACCAAATACTGAAAAGGTCATAGGTGTACTGTTTCAGTCAGTTTAATTGTGAAGGCTACGCAAGGTTTTCAATATAATAAAATACAACATAAAAGGTGCTGACTGTAAGGTTTTCGAATATACTTATTAATTAATTTGTATGTAAAACTAGTTTTTACCGGGTTAGGGCGCTTTCAATTTATGCGTTTCTTGACGGACTGCTGCGGTGCCGATGCGGTGCGTTTGTCGTACAGCGTACGGATGACCCTTTTTTTTCACACAAAACGCGCGGTGCGGCAACAGGAGCTCTATTTTTGAATCACTCGTCTTGCGTCGAACGCTCCATTTCTACTAAATTTCATTCGAAATAATTAATTCCGTATTTTTGAATCGTTCGAGTGCAACAAATGGGTGAGACCACTCGCTGCATGGCGAATGGTGGAGGCGAATGATAGAATAATTGTCAAATTTTTTGTGCTATTAGACGACGATTTTTTTTTATCATGCTTTATATGAAACGACTACGAGAATTTTTTGTTCGGTTTTCATTGCGGTAATTGCCGGTTTTTATTTTTTCTGCGTGAAATGAGAAAAATTTCATATTTAATATTAAACAGGTAACACCGGTGGCGAATGATTCAAAAATACGGAAAATCAGTATTATGCGACTTGAAAGTCGAAGGTACTATGTCAGACGAGTGATTCAAAAATAGAGCTCCAGTCCTGTTGTCAAGCGTTCGCGGTACCGGCGCCGCACTGTTGCCGCACCGCGCGTTTTGTGTGAAATAATGCACGAAACTTTATTTATTTATTGATGTTTCGCAGCCTTTTCACATCTGCATCGTCAGAATACAGATTTTTTATTTAATTTTGTTGTAAGGTAGCTACCTGGAATTGAATAAAAATCAGTATTCTGATGATGTAGACCTGAAAAGGCTGCGAAACGTCAAAAAATAAATAAAGTTTCGTGCATTAACCCGTTAAAAATTAGTTTTATTTAATGAGTCGCACATAACTCATTAAATAAAACTAGTTTTTAACGGAAACCTAAGAAACAAATAATCTGTATGTTCTTAATTTGTTGTTCTTTGGATACATTTTCAAATTAAGGGACTATCAAATTGACCAATAAAATTTTCATTTAGCTTACTAGGAGCTTCTATTGTAAGTTTTACTTCTTTCGAGACCCGTTTTTCTTCTGTGGCAAAGCTTCTTTACCCAAAGTCTTCAAAGTTGCCTAAACAATTTCAGGATTGCATTCTTTTGTTTCAGCCACGCGGAGATGTGAAGCAATGGATGCGCAAGCGACACAAACACAAGAAGTGGCTGACTACGAAACAGCTCTCGACACAGCTGGTAAGTAAAGGCGCCTAGTTGAGTTTTTCTTACTAGATTTATAGAATACTAGCTGACCCAGCGAACTTCGTACCGCCCTAAAAAAATAGGGGTTGTCCAGCGGACAAAATTGTGAATCTAAACCATTCTCAGATCCCCTTTAACACACACAAAAAATTTCATCAAAATCGGTCCAGTCGTTTAAGAGAAGTTCAGTGACATACACACTCACAGAAGAATTACATATATAAAGATGTTAACGCTATCTATCCTTCAACGAGAGAAGCTGCAATCGGTCCATTATCATCGTCCATTCATACTTTCATTCCTCACTCATTAGTTTTATATACAATTCACTCTCCCTCTTGCAATTCGAATTCAAAAAAGACAACGTACGCACATAATTTCAATAAGTTCTGTATTTTACTATGAATACTATTCTACAATCTGAATATCCGATTTTTATTGAGAAATCCACATATAGAAGACACTAAGCTATCAAACAAATATGTTTACTAGAAAAAATCCAGTCCAGGTTCCATAGGAAATCCTCTTAGGGCTTAGCTTTCTTTTTCTAGAAGGAATGGCAAATGTTTAGACAACCGATTAACGTTTGCACCTCATCTCAAGATAATTCGCGATCGCGCAGTTTCATTCGCGGCAGGCTATTCCACCTTATAGGGAAGCGTTGTAAGTTGTCACTTAGGCATAAGTTGATAATGAGGGCTACCGTTTTCTGCCTCACCAGATGGCGCCACTGTTGAGTGAGGTCCTAAATTGTAACTTTTAAAGTTTATTAATACGCACATGAAATCAAAGGTTAGATTTAGATCGTATTTTAACACTAAAGAACCATATCCTAAACATAATAGGCCATGCCACAGTGACGCGCAGTTCCGTTTTATTCGGAAAAAATGGGAACATAATCATTTTTCTAAGCTCAAATTTTTAATAACTGACATTCATTGCCACATAACTCATATTTGCCATAATTAACCCGAATTGTTACCAATTATTCACAACATTATTTTAATTAGAAATAAACCCGCGTAGTCAACCAACAAGCAATAACATTTGACATATCGGAGACCTCACGCTACACTAGCGCCTCTAGCGGCGGATTCATACGCGATAGCCCTCATTTACAAAACTTGCATCCGCCCTATCATGACCTACGCGAGTGTTTGCTTCGCCCACGTACCTCCGTCGCGTCTTAAACCACTCTGAGGTCTGCCAGATAACCGGGCAATCTGGGGTTATCCCATAGTTTTACATCTTGTCCCGGGTACAGAAAATTACTTTGCGAATTCCGAATAGGCGGAAATATCGAGGAAGCAAAATATTGTCTCATGAAATGAAACAATTGGAAGCAATTCTTGGCCATGATCCGTTATCCTGATAACTTTATCTTAATTTGGTTTAGTTTTAAGGCCAAGTGTGCAAACAATATATTTTAAAACTGTTTTTATCTGACTATACTAAAGACCTTCAATGATATGATAGAGTCCGAATTGTAACCAAAAAAATATTTAAAATAAAGAGAGTCTATTCGGACACTCTTCGAATCATTTTGTCCGAGTCGTCAGTAATACTAAGTTTTTTTTTGGTGTTTTGTATACCGATTGAATTTTTTATTTACTGAATGTACCACATATACCTAAGAGGTTTTGAGAAGCTGCGGATAGGAGTGACGGTATGCTCTGTTACCCTGAGCTGCATGCAGTGCTATTTGTAAAATATACACGCACGGATTCTTAAGGGAAACGCGCGGATCTATATGGGAAATGCGCGGATCCATATGGGAAACGCGTGGAATAGCGCGTGTAAAATTTACGGAATAGCACTGCTGAGCCCTGATTAAACGAAATTGAAATTAACTACTAAGATAGTTGGTTTGCCTTTTTAACCCATCATTATCGTCATCATCAGCCTATCAATGGGACACAGGCCTTCCCTATAAATGGAATAGGGAGATTGGACCATGACCCACCACGCAGGCCCAGTGTAGATTCATGGCTGCTAACGTCTGCAGATACAACCGAGGCCAATGGCATAACGTGCCCGCCGAAGTAAGGAGGAGCTCGAGATATTAAATTTTTGGTCACCCATCCAATGACCGACCACTGCGAAGGTTGCTTAACTTCAATGGTCGCAGCCGAACCCGCTAACTATTTGCGCCATAGAGTCTTTTTAACCCATAATAGCGTATTTCTATTTCCAACTTTCCAAGAAGTACCTACTTACTTACGTAAATTTTCATTATTATTTGCTTCCAAGCTATAATTTCTAAGAAGCGTATTATTTAGTACAATATAATAAAATATGCCCATTCACTACCATCACAATACGTATTGATTTATCAACAACTTCAGTGGTGTATTTTCGTACAAACAGTTGTGAGATAATAGAACGCTGAGTTTGAAAATTTAACTTTTTGAATGGCGTTTACGTAAACGTATGTTAATTTTAATTATTATTTAAAGTATTTAGATTTATCTTTTTTACACTTATTGTTAGTAAATTCGTTGATTGTCTATTGTTACATATTTTACATTATGTGATGGAAGTTGACCTCAACACATGTTTGCAAGTTTGATGTCAACTTTCAATTTGAGGACACTGTATGAAATAAAACAGGGAGAAAAAGCAGCCCTTGCTGAGTTTCTTGCCGGTTCTTCTCAGCACAAGGTCTCCCGCCGTAGATTTGCGAACCGATGGCGTAGCTTTTCGACATTCACAAGTGCTTGTAACAGCCTAGACTGAATAAATGACATTTCATTTCATTTCATTTCACTGGAAATGGTAGTAAGAACCTAGACAATAAATAGTATTATTTAAATAAATAAATGAATATTTATGTTTTTATTTATTTTTAAGCATTTAACTGCTAGATGTTTAAATCTAAAGAAAAGTTTACTAGAAAAAAATCCACGCGGACCAGGCAGCGGACGGGACTCGAACCCTCGAACTTCGCAATCTATGCTACCACGGCCCTATTGGCCGCGTCGAAATTTTCCTAGCCTTAAGCTGCAAGGCAGCGCCTCTTCGCATTGTAGGTAACCCACAATGTCAAATGAATACTTTTCTCCCTGTATTGTTATATACAGTGTCGTCAAGTTGAAAAATTACTTCAGATATACGTCTGAAGTCACTTTCACAGTTGGATCTATTCCTAGTTGCCAACAGTTATCAGTGCATTATCTATGTTCTAGGCTAGAATCTAGCATTCGTCACGTTATTACGTGTCGTAGAAACAGCATCGGTCGTGTCTGGATACGTTTAATTTGTTATAAAGTTAAACATCGATATCGGAGTACGCGTGTCGCTTACGATTGCTGTTATCAAAATATCACGAGCGGTTTTACACATGTGCATGACATAATTTTTTTAGTTATAATTTGTATTATTTTTAAAGCATGTAACTGCTTGATGTTTAAATCTAAAGAAAATATAACTAGAAAAAATTCCACGCGGACCAGGCAGCAGACGGGACTCGAACCCGCACCCTTCGCAATCCGGGCGAATGCACTGACCAATTATGCTACCGCGGCCCTCACGGACCGCGTCGAAATTCTTTCTAGCTATTCTTAAGCTGCAAGGCAGCGCCATCTCTTCGCATTATAGGTAAACCCACAATGTCAAATGAATACTTTTACAGGTATTAAACATTTGAAAGAAGAAATAGCAATTATAGTTATAATTTGTATTATTTTTAAAGCATGTAACTGCTTGATGTTTAAATCTAAAGAAAATATAACTAGAAAAAATTCCACGCGGACCAGGCAGCAGACGGGACTCGAACCCGCACCCTTCGCAATCCGGGCGAATGCACTGACCAATTATGCTACCGCGGCCCTCACGGACCGCGACCGAATAGGGAGATTGGGCCATGAGCCACCACGCGGGCCCAGTGCAAATTAAAGTCTGCAGATGCAGCCGGGACCAACGGCTTAACGTGCTTTCCGAACTGGAGATAGAAGATTTTTGGTCACTCGTCCAATGACCGACCACTGCGAAAGTTGCTTAACTTCAACGATTGCAGCCGAACGCGCTAACCACCCGCGCCATCGTGCACCTCTTAACCTAATAACTATCTACCTTTTTTTGATTTAAGCAGCAAATTATGTCATCAGCCCATCGTTTTAACCCAGATGTTCCAGAAACCTTTTTGATTTAATCTAAGCCTGAAATGTATTTTTGCCTAGGAAGTTGAGATGTTTTGATTTATGCATTATACTAGGCAAAGTATCACAGGAAAAATAATTAGTCACTTCCGGAAAAAAATGAAAATGATGTCCCACGCGTGGATCGGTCGGCACTACCCTTCATTTTAACTTCGTTCGTTCGCTCCAGTAGGCCCCCATTTTCGCTGAAGGTGCGACCGGGGGGTCCCCCCCCCCCCCCCTCCGAGGTTTAGGGCCACGAGGACTTATGAGGGCTCAAAAGACGCGGAATTCCAAGGGCTTTATGATAATGTAAAAATATTTTCAAAAAGTTGGTTTAAAAACAAAATATTTTTATTATAAATAATCTTTAATAGGTAGATTCATTTCCAATGCCCTTTCAAGTCGTGTAGAGCACGAGATCTGTGATTTTTTTTATAATGTTACATACATACAACTACCTAAAATTTTGCCATTTAATTTTTTTCGATGAGAGTTGTAGTTTTCCGAAAATCGCGATAAACCGGTTTCCCCCCATAAAAGGTCTTTCCCCTATCCGTTCCGTCCTCAAATCGTTACGCCACGTCTAAACGGCTGGAGTGATTTTAATAATATTTGGTATGGAGCTAACAGACACCCTGGATTAACACATATGCTATGTTTTGCTGCGGGAAAAAAAATCCTAATAAACAACAGGTAACCCCGGGGGGCACAGCTAGTTTGAGTATAAAAATATCTTAATCCATTCGTATATTAATTGTAATACTTGTTCTATCTATCTATCTATATATATATACTCGTAAAACTCAAAGGTGACTGCGTAAAACTCAACGCGCAGCCCAAAACACTGGACGGATC